AATTATCATTAAAGTTAAAACAAAAACCGCGTTCGAAATACTTTGCAAAATTGTCAATTTTGATCATATAATAGTAATCTGAAATTTAGTGTCAGCAAGGATTTCTTTAAATAAATTCAATCACACATCGAATAAGAAATTTTTGGACCCAAATTTTTATTTTGAAAAGATGTAAAGTACTGTTTGATTTCATATCAAAAATAATTTGACTTTAAATTTTCTAATTTTACTCAAATAACGTAGAAAAAAATATATAAATTTAACAATATAAGTTTAAAATCAAAATTTTGTTTTTGTTTTAAATTTAAAATATTTAAGAAAATGGCTTTAGTTGAAAATTAAACAAAAAATCGAGCATACATTTGACATTCCAATCTAAACATTTTTCTATTTGAAAGATTACAAAAACAAAAAAAACAAGATTTAATGCTTTTAAAAATTAATAACATAAATATTTAAACAAAAAATTTTTTTTTTTTGACTTATTGATTTGTTTTCATCGTCAATATGTTTTTTCTCTATTTTAATGGGTACCTAATTATTAAAATTTTTTATTTATTTTAAAAGAATATTTCATTTTTAATGGTTATTTTATAAAAAAATTTTGACTTTTGACAATCAAATTAGATTTAAAAAAGATATTTATTTAATCTTTAAGTAAATAAATTCCATGAATTTAAAAACCTGAGATAAAAAAAAAGGAATATCAAATATTAGTTAAACTTTAATTTCTAAAAGTTTATTTTAGATAATGTCATAAATATATTTGATGTGTAAATTTATTAAAATTTTTTAAACAGGAAATTTTAAATTTTTTCAGGCAATCAAGTTATTTTCGTTATTTTCTCCGATAAAAAATGTTAATTATTGAATTTCTTATTAATATATTTTTTTTAAGTTTTTTGACTTTTAATTTTCCAATGTATAAATCTTTTAATTAAACAAAATTAAGATGGGGAGGACCTTTTAGATATTTGTAAAAATTTTTCCTTTGGGTCTTGCTGTTGCTTAGCATATTACAGTTTATTGTACGTAGATATATTGTAGCGGGCATTATCATGGGAATTATAGTCGTTTAAAACTAATGTATTTTCTAGAAATCTACTATAATTTGTAGCATATTTCAGGTACAGTTATAGCTAAATTTTAGAATATTTTTTTGAATATTTTCTGCATTTTTCATGATTTAGGATGTTGAGTGGATGGGATTGATGAAGAATTTTACCCATATGTTTCTATCACTTTATTATATTTTTGCATTAGGCCATATAGCGTTTATAATTGTATTGTTTTGATTTTTTTTGGCAAAAATTTAATTTCAAATCAAACATGTGTCTCTTAGTGCCATTTATATTAATTTTTCAATTTTGATTGAAAAGTGTTGATTTTCCTTCAAAATTTTGGGGATTTTTGGTGGATAACTATATGAATGTAGCGTGATTGTATTTTATATATTTTATTTATTTCACTTTTTGTACATTTCTTTTCTTTTTTTTTTTTATATATATATATATATATATATATAGTATTTGTAAACAAAGCATTTGAATAATAAAACAGAGGTCAATGCAAAATACAGAAAAAGATTTTCTTTTTTTTTTTTAAATTTTATTGTTTTAATTTTTATATTAAAATCTCTCTCTCTAATATATATATATATATATATATATATATATATATATATATATTTATTTAATTTCAGAATGAAACAACTAATAACAAAATTTTTACATTTTCTTTTCATTAATTCAATGCAATTTTTCTGTTTTTTTTTTGAATTTATACTTTTAAAAATTTTATAGACGTGAAAATTAGCTAGATATATGATATATATTAGAATCTTTTTTATGGCGCTTTTGTTGCTTCACTAAGTCAGGCGATTTACAGATAATTTATTGTCATGTCTGTATCTGACACTAGTTCTTGTTGAATCTTATGCCCGTATTCTCTTTAACAAAATGATTCATTTCTGATATTGAGTACTCAGGCCTTGACAAATTTAAACTTTCTTCTAATCTATCTATTTCTATCTATTAATCTTTAATATCTCAATCTTCTTTCTCTTTCTTTATCTATATATATATATATATATATATATATATAATCTTTTATCACATGCCCGATGAATTGGGTATCCAACGAAATTAATGTTGCATCAAATGAAGTTAAACGTGTATTCTTTTTAACATTTATTTTTTCACACACACACATGAAGATATATTTTATATATATATAGTTAAGAGATAAACAACATGATAATATTAAGTGTCTGATTTAATAAGTGTAAAATATTCGAATGTTTAAGACTTAATGTTATTAAGATATTTAAAGTGAAGGAAAGTAAAACGAGTAAGAGAAAATAAAAAAAAATAAGATAAACAAAATGTATGCAATGAATGGAGAATTCAAATTTATTCAATATTGGTCTGAGATCCATAATTAGATAAACTCTTCTCTGGATGCTTATTGATCACTAATCACCATCGAATTCTGTAAAATAGAATGGGTTTTCATTTAACGTGTTGTCCGAATTGAAATAACCAAGTGCCGAATAACATACATTCAATGATTTTTAAATACCTACTCTGTCTCGTTATCTGTACCAAGACTGTTTAAACATTTACAAATTATTTTATTTTCGATTTCATTTTCCGTCTCATGATATCGACTGATCATTAATTTACTAGACGTAGTTTCTTAGGTCTATTCGGAAAGGATATTGGATTAATCCAGAATTTATACTAACCGCGCACATACTATATACAGATAGAACAAAATTGAATTAAAATTTTAAAAACAAAATCATAATAGATGATTATTAAATTTTAACTCCTCCTAATTTTTTAATTCTCTCTATTTCTGTGTAATAAGTGTTCTTTACGTCGCCATTTTCTTTAGAACTTTCTCGTTGAAAAGTGCTCAATAGAACAAAAAATCTGTCATTCTGTACAACCATATCTTTAATGCAACTTTTTTCTCCTCATATGCCAAGATTTTAAATAAGTTACTGCTATGTAAAGGAAATTTTGAGCACACAAAAATACAACAATTTTATGATTTAAAAATTTCTATGTCATTTTTTTTATTTAATGAGGCAAAATGGTTACCATTTTAAATAAAACACTTGTAAAAATTTTTCAAAAAAGAGAAGAATAAAATTTCAGTTTTGGTTATGATTTTCTTTATGTAATCTTATATATAAAGTACATGTGAGTTTCTGCGTGTGCGTGGCCAAGCAACTCCTTCGCTTCCACTGGGACGTTTTCCATGATTCATGGCTCATTCAAAAGCCATAGAAAAGTTAGGCGCAGGGAACGATTCTCTTTGAGCTCAGATTCAGGGTTGCCAGACTATGCGAGGTTAAAAATATATATTAATATATTATACTAGCCATTATCATTGCTTTCATCTTTCAAGGGGAGTAACTATCATTTTTCCTTTCTATCCAAAATTTCAGTGCATCTTTTATTATAAACTAGCTTAAAAGTCATTTTATCGGGCGACATTTAATCTAGCTCCTGTGGAGGACACTTGGTCTGGCCATCATCCCAATAGTTAGGGAAGAGTAGATGAGATAGGCATCAATAAACTACAGAATAACTCAAAATTGATCCCTGCATTTAAGTATTGAATTAATGTTTACCTTTTAAAAGTTCAACGATAATTTTTCTTCTGCCACTTAATTTAACGGTGATTTGATGTACATAGGTCCTTATGTTCCGTACAAACAATTATTTTTATTTCATGGGTACAATTTATAAGATAAAATTCATATAATTTAAAGATGTGAAAATAGAAATTAGAATGAATTATACATTCAACATTTGCAGACTTAGAGAAACATATTAAAACCTGTATTATGAAATCTATATGAATAAATGCAAAATTTGAGCTCAATTCTCCCAGGAGTGGAGATTAAAAAGCTCCAGCTTTATTTTATACTAATTTAGACACTAAAAGCTCAATATCTGTATTATATATTATCTACTTCTATGAAGTATCACTCTTCAGGTTTAACTAATTTGCATATTGATCTTAAATAAAGTTTTTCATTAATTAACTGTTCTTCATTTCTGTTCTTTTATTTGAGGATTGTTTTGATTTTCATATCAAAAAATGTTCTGTTTATGAATATAGTCTTATATAGGGCAGAAAAGTGTTTGAAATTTGCATTTCACTTGGCCTTCAACAAGTTGGCATCTATTTGTAAAACTTTCTTTAACTATAACAAGCCAATTGATGAATGCAATGTTCATTTAACATTTTTGTTTCAAAGATTTCAAATAGTGAATATGTCATAATTTGTGAAGCAATAGCGAGTGGCCGAAGCGTCTAGTTATATATAACACGTACACACAATTTTCCATTTTGCCATTTATTTTCCTATCTATATTTATTTTTTTTATTTATCTACCAATCTTAATATCTACATATCTATCTATCTCAGATCTCTTCATTTATCACTGTGTATATATCTAGATGGTAAGTTATCTATCCCTAGATACTTATAATACACGATGAATTTTTAAATCATATTCAACTGTTTTCATATATTTATAGAATATGCCTGATTTAAATAATACAGCAGTTGATGTCCTAATTTTTTCCAAGGCTTGAACACCGTCCTTCGATACAGCTAATCAAAACGTAACATATTAAACGACATGTTATAAGTTGTGTGTATGAGTTCGCTTAATGTTTATCATGTTCCTAATTTCGTGTTCTCGTTGATGTAATTCATACATTTTATGTTTCTTAATTGTTGTTTAGTTCATTGTTTCGTCTCAGATCACATTTTACTTCTTTCATGTCTTTGTCGCTCAATTAATTTTCCCTTCATACTCTTTATTGTTTCCTTTCTCTATCTTTTTTTCCCTTCAACAATATAATCACTTAAAGATAGATAGATCAGACTAATGGAGGGATAGTTAGAGAGAGGCAAAAGAATCATGCACGCATAAATATGAAACAAATTTTCCGCCTGTCGACAAGAAAGATGCTCATACGCAGAAATTAATATGAAGGAGATAGATAAATAGATAGATAGATAGACAATGGACAGATCGAGGATAGATAGATAGATAGATAATGGACAGATCGAGGATAGATAGATAGGCAGATAATGGACAAATCGACGATAGATAGATAGGCAGATAATGGACAAATCGACGATAGATAGATAGACAGATAATGGACAGACGAGGATAGATAGATAGACAGATAATGGACAGATCGAGGATAGATAGATAGATAGATAATGGACAGATCGAGGATAGATAGATAGATAGACAGATAATGGACAAATCGAGGATAGATAGATAGGTAATGGACAGATCGAGGATAGATAGATAGATAGATAGACAGAGAATGGACAAATCGAGGATAGATAGATAGATTATAGGCAGATCGAGGATAGATAGATAGACAGATAATGGACAAATCGAGGATAGATAGATAGATAGATAGATAGATAGATAGATAGACAGATAATGGACAAATCGAGGATAGATAGATAGATAATGGACAGATCGAGGATAGATAGATAGATAGATAGATAGATAATGGACAGATTGAGGATAGATAGATAGATAATGGACAGATCGCGGATAGATAGATAGATAGATAGATAATGGGTAGATCGAGGATATATAGATAGATAATGGGCAGATCGAGAAAAGATAGATAGATAATGGGTAGATCGAGGATAGATAGATAGATAGATAGATAGATAATGGACAGACTGAGATAGATAGATAGATAGATTTTGATTGATTAATAATGGACAGATAGATAGATAGATAGATTAATAGATGATATGATAATAAGAGACTTAGATGGAATAGATAATGGACAGACAAGATAGATAGATAGATAGATAGATAAGGAGAGACTTAGATAGATAAAAATAGATAGATGAATGAATAAAGGGAGAGACTTAGATAGATAGATAGATAGGATAAGGGAGATGACTTAGATAGATAATAGATAGATAAATAGATGAATAGATAGATAAGGGAGAGACTTAGATGAAAAGATAATGGACAGACTTGAATAAATAGAGATAGATGATGGGGGAGGACTTAGATAGATGAATAGATAGATAAATAGACTTAAATAGATAGATCTAATAGATACATAATGGACAGACTTAGATAGATAGATAGATATCCAAGGGAGAAACTTAGATAGATAGAAATAGATACATAATGGACAGACTTTGAAAGATAGATGGATGGATAATGGACAGACTTTGACCATAATAGAAGATGGATAGATAGATAGATAATGTTAAGACTTTGATAGATAGATAAGATAGATAATGGACAGACTAAGATGTATTTGAAATAGATAAATAATGGACAAACTTAGAAAAATGAATAATAGATAATGGACAGACTGATATGTATAGATAGATAGATAGATAATGGACAAACTTAGATAGATTCGAATATAATGAACAGACTAAGATAGATGATAGATAGATATGAATAGATAGATAGATAATACTCAGACTGAGATAGAATGATAGATTGATAGATAATGCTCAGACTGAGATGAATAGATAGATAAATAGATAATGGTCAGACTGAGATAGATGATAGATATGTTCTTCGTCAGATATAAATGAAAAACAGATAAAAAAATCTCTTAAACTGTTTCCTAGCTCGAGAGATGAAAATAAATGTTTAGTACTATTGATAGAGAGAGAGAGAGAGAGAGAAAGTGATAGTTAGACAGTGAAAAAAGAGAATACCCCGTACACTTTCACACAGTAATACTCAAACATAAAAAAAAATAGATACATCCAAACGCAAACATATTTTTTTTTGTCTGAGCATAAGACATTATGGCATGATCAATTAACAACACTTACACGCTCTTAAACCATAGATAGACCGGCACACATAATCAAACACATATATTAGCAAAGAGACAAAAGGTACATTTACACTCGCATTAGCGAAAACAAGCAAATAAAAGAAAATTGGTAGACAAACATTTTCCCGCCTTTCCTGACAATATTGTCTCCTTCTTTTTGTTATTTTTCCCACATTGGCGCCACACGATTATTAACCGGCTGATAAGAACATCTATCAATATTTCCTTCTTATCTGCTGTTTTAGAACGAATAAGCGTAGATCGATCGGACGACGAGCCGCAGCTGCTGTCGTCAATGTCTGTTCCTCTTGCACATCATTAATTAACTAACAACAATTGTCCGACAACAAAATCAAGAAAACAATATACAAGATTAGCTGTCGAATACCGCAAATGTCTTTATTACGTTGTCCATGCTGTCATATTCGTGCTTTGCAAAATAATGAACATCTTTCAGCTAAAATCATTATTGTATATTATTTCAAAAAAGTCTTATCACGTAATGGGACACTTTTGCATACTTAAGAAAATGATAAAAAAACAAAATAATACTTAAATTAGTAAAATTTCATATATTTATCCATGAATCTAGGATATAATGTTTTATTTGAAATAAATAAT